AAGTTCACTGATTACTCACCGTTCCTGTTGGAAAAATTCGTAAAAATAGCCTTGAAAACGGCTTTCCGCATGTAATTCCCTTCTTGAAGCGGCAGGCTCGCCGTCATGGATCGGCGAATTAACGATCGACGGCCTCTTCAGCGGCGCCGCCGCCGCCGCCGCCGCCGCCGCCACCGGTTGTTGGCCTCGTGAGAAATATCGCGCGAAATGCCGCGTGCCGCGGCGGTGGAATCTCGCGAGATGTCCGAGCGAAATTCCGGCTTAATGAAGGTGTGTGTACCGCGGCATGAAATTATTCCGCAGTGAGTTGTTAATCGAATCAACGTGCCGGGCGCGCGAGCCCGAGTTCACGGAGGTGAGGTGCGACGGTGGTCCCCGACGTTCCCCGCTCTCGCGAACGACTCGGTCGGAACACGTCGGTCGAAAGCCTGAAATCACCACTGAATTCTCATCAGAGCGCCTCCTTCCCAACGAGTCTCCTCGTGATCTGCCGTTGTCGCGTCGAACGTGCAAAAACTAATAGATACACGCCGAGGAATAACGGCACTCCGCGTCGACTCCCGCGTAATATCTCGCAGACATCGCGATGAAATCCTAGAAATGTCAGGTCGCCGACCTTCCCGCAGGATTTCGCCATGGATTCCGACATGATCCCGACCGGATTCTTCGCCGACTTGCGAACCCCCGGCTAGACTCCCGAGAGAATCGCCGGCATTTTTTCACACGATTTCATCGAGCGTCGGAAGGGTGCATTTCCCCCTCTCCCTCCCCTCTCCGCGCACGCCTCCGGGTTTCGCTAGCGAGCCTCGTGCATTGTCGCTCATGTCATGTGGTACTACTCCACTGCGCGAGATCGCCAGCACAATGGGATGTTTTGTCGCTCGGATTTACTTGTACTTGCGCGGCGCGTTCGCTCTGGCTTCTCTTTCTCTCTCCCTCCCTCCCTCTCTCGCGTGTGCAATTAATCCTGGTGAACGTAAATCAAGAAGTTGGCGTGCAGTCGCGCGACCGCGAGGCAGCACACAACCGTTGACGGTTATAAAAGGCACGTCGGAACGAACGCACGCCGTTCAGCGGATGCGCTGACAATTAATTGCGAAAATTTGCGCGCTCGCGAGCGGCAAAAAATGCGAAATGCGATAGAGACGTCGGAAAGGGACGCGCGGTGGAACGAGAAGAATCGTCTCATTGTCGCCGTAAGTTTCCTCCATTTTCCTCGGCGATGACAGAACGCCTGTTTCTCCTTCGTCAGGATGTACCGGGTGGGTGCAAGAATTTGTTCGGAGACGTTTGATTCTACGGAATTCTACGGAAAAGCATGTTTCATCGAGAGAGGACATTTTCTGACGACTGAAAAAGCCAAATTCCGTCTGAGTCGAGCAGAAGTCTTGACGACTTGGACCGAATTCTAGCCAAACACTTTTCTCCGTTTCTACCGAGTGTATACAGGGTGTATAAAAAATACACCCTGATGACGAAATATCTCGAAAATTAAACATTTTAGAAAAAAACTTCTTTCAGACGGAAGTTGTCAAAATTAATTGGTAGAAATAGATGATATAATAAAAAATTGGAGTTTTCATTTGAGAAAAGTAATGATCGGTGAGTATCTCGAAGGTGACGCCATCTGTAAATAAAATGACACAGTTGTCTCATGTCCCCTTTGAAACCGTACAACTTTCGTCCGAAACATTTTTTTCCAAAATGTTTAACTTTAGACATCTTGTCGTCCCGGTACTTTTTATACACCCTATACAACCGCCATTGTTTTCTACCCCGTCTTTGGCACATCATACGACCTAATACTCTCAAACTCCGCCGTGAAACAGGCTCGCGCGATGCCTCTGAGAAACTCGTCGAAACTTTCGCGCTCAGCCGGCATTTTATCCGCGCGAGCGATCTTCGTGCGATCTTCGGCGGCAACGGTGTGTTTGATTAAAACCGAATCAACGGGAAAGATCAACGGGAGCGCGCGTGTGCGGCTGCTCTTAATTATCCACGTTTCCCCGCGGGGGAAACTGTTTCCGCGGGGACGCGAGTTATCTAGACCGGAAGTCGAGCACGCGCTCGCTCGCAGAATACTTTAAAAGTACAGCCCTCCGGGCATCCGACTCTCGCTTTGTGGCGAATTCTAATAAAGCCGCGGATGATGTTGCCTCTGCGCGTGCTCGGGCCGCGTGATCTCTCTCGCTAAAAAATGGATTGTCCGTCCGTTCGCGAGTGCGTGCACGCACGGGGATCCGACTGCTGCCGATGAAAAGTTCCGAGTCGTTCACCGATCTGTCGTGACACGGCGGGGGGTGGGGTGGGGGGATAAATGTTTGCTTGAGTGAAACAATTACCTGGTTAAATACGAACGATTCGGAAATTTCCATGGAAAATATCGGGATTCTGGTTGAATTAATCCCGGCGATTTGGATCATTCAAATTGAATCCCGATAACTCGAATGGGAATTTCCGAATTTCGTTCATCGCTTGGTCAGATTATTTTACCTCACATTCCACCTCGTGCAAGAACGAAAATGTTGTCACGCGTCGTCGACGCAAAAATGAAATATAAAAGTGTCTCGTTTCTGTTAAATGGAGCGGTTCGAAAAATCGCCACGACCGATATCACGACTCGATCGTCGACTCGCAAACCCGCGGAGACGCGGCCAATGTAGGAAAACGTTGCAGTCGACAAAATGCGAGATCAGCTGAAATAGAGTAAATTACAGTTGATGGCCGCGCGAGGCGACGGCGACGTCGCGGAATCGCGGCAAGAAATCCTGGTGAAAGATTCGCTTTGACGAAAACTCGTCGGGTGATTCCGAAGTTTCGGAGAGAGAGAGAGAGAGAGAGAGAGAGAGAGAGAGAGAGAGAGAGAGAAAGAGGACCTCGTGCTCGCTCGGCGAAGGTTCCGCCACTTCCCGTCGGATCAAATATTATATTAGGTCTAGCAGTTAATTCTTTCCGATGTTTACATCCAGCTCAGAGCAAGATTTGAAATGGAAATATTCTTCCGCTCTTCCGCGGCTTTAAAGCGTTGGCATTTAGTTTTAACGCATGGTTTGATGCACTAACCTCACAATTAAGTAAAATCACCGGTAACAACGAAGAATATCTCATCGATTGAGATTGAGAAAATTGTCGACGCGATCGGAAAGAATTAATTACCAACTTTTATATGTATGTGTGTGTGTGTGTGTGTACGGCTATATAAACGGCGCGCAAATTTACCGCCGGCCGGGCTCGGCAAGTTTAACGGGCTCCGTAATGTGAAACACGGGTAAATTCATGTTTTCGTGGAAACTGCGTCTCGCTGCTAATGTCGCGGATATGGAAATGTTATTGCGCGCGCGACGAGGGTGCATCTCGTGGCGGGCCTCGAGCTGCGCGATACCGTATCAGACCTCGTCGGCCTTGAATATGCACGCCGAATAATCGCCGCTGTCCGCGCGCGTTCTCCTCCGATAAGAGAAAATGCAAAAACGCGCTCTGCGTGGAATTGCGGATGGAATCCGGCGCACGCGAGCGACGATTTCCCGCGGGATTCTTCAGTCGCGCGTTTAACGCGCGATCTGTCATCGTCCCGGAACTTACCGTTCCTCCGAACTGCACCATCGGTCAAAAGTTTGAAATTGGCTGCTAATTTCTCGCAAGAACGAATCTTCTCGTTCAAGCCACGACGTAGCATTTTTTTTCACCTAGCAACGTTTGAAATTTGCTAATAGGGGAAGGTTGCCTATATATTGGACCAGTTTTCAATGTCTTTTTATAATTTGATAAAAAATTAATCTTTAATCTGTGTGTAACATTCTGTGAAATTTTGTGAAATTTTTTGCACATTTTCTATTGGATACGGTCTTTTTTATAACCTCTGCAAATGTTGCAATTTTGGCAACTAATTGCTTAAACTGTACCGTGCAGTAAATTGTACCAAGTTTTCCTTATCGTACCGTTGTGATTTATTTAAAAGCTACGAGGAGATAAAAATAAAATACAAACAATTTAAATAAATACGTGTTCAATTGAAATTTGAGATTGTATGACAAACTAGAAAATACTTTTTAATTAAAAAATAAACATCAAAATTACATGAATAAAATATTTCTGTTTTTAGAAATTTGACTAAAAGATTAATTGAAAGTTACAGCTTGTGTGGAAAACTAAGAAAAGTATTTTTTAATTATAAAAACAAACATTAAAATAATTATTAAAATTGAATCTGTTTTTATGTGAAGTTTGTTTTGAATGAAAGTTGACTTTTTATATTCTTCCTTTGACTAGAAACTGCAGAATTTATCCACACCTCGAGATTAAAATTGCGAAATTAGAATATTTTCGCTATTAGAAACTTTATTGAGAAATCAACAACCATTAAAGAAAAATTTATTTTTCATTTAGAACCAAAAATAAATATAGGTAATACAAAAGAAAAAGAAAATAAACATTCACTTCCCTTTATCAACTTCGACGACGGATGAATCTCGCGTAATATACAAATGGCGCTAGGCCTTCGGATTCTGCGAGATACGAAAGATGGTGCAATTTAGGAGCCGGTAGAGATTCAGCAACTTTCCCCTATCGAGCGGATTGCAGCGTCCGACCATTGAAAATGAAAACGCGAATCTAGTCGATGGCGCGTGGGGACCGAAGGGAACGTTCGATCTTCGATCGATCGCGAGGACGGATGCGAAGAAGAAGCCATCATGATACTCGCTTGAAAATGTATTTGGAACATCGCGACGATTGTCCATATCGGTGAACCCGGATCGCCTGGGAGGTAATTGCGCGCGTGCATGGCCGAAGATCATTCGCCATTCCGACTAATTGGCGAGGTGAGTCACGCGTCTCGATTGTACACACGTAGGACAGTTTGAGGACGTGACTGACGCTAGATTTTCCGGAGGGGGGAAGGGGGGACACGCGATGATTACATCGCACGGCTAGCGTGCATTGCGCATGCGGCGCATGCAAGCCGCATTCAGCCAAATTCTACGTCCATCGAAAGCTGATACCTGTGTGTCTCTCTCGGCCTCTCTTCGCACTCACCGAATAGCCCGGGACTCAAGACCAGCCGCGCTCAGCCAGCCAGATCTGGAACAGAAGAAGAACATAACTTGGTCGGTCGGAGCCGCGCGAGAAGTCGCACGTACGCGAGGCAGCAAACTCACCAAGTCTTCGCGATCGCGGGCTATTCGAATCGCGTCGCCTCGTTCGTTTTCGGCTCCAAGGCTTCGAAAGAGAGACGCCTGATTGCTCGGCGAGTGATTCTACCTTCGAGCCGACGCCGCTCGATCCGGACCGGAAGCTCCGCATCCGCCGCAGCCGCGTCCCGCCGAACTGCATCTGCCGAGCGGCGATGAGCGCCCTTCGGTCTGCAAGGAGAAATGATTTTGCCAATTGGTCGCAAGTGCGTGACGAGGCGAAAATTCCACGAAGTAAAAAACGAAGTAAAAAGAAGTCCGGCGCGGGAGAAACGCGTCTGGTCGGTCTCGAAAGAATTTCCCGCTGCGAGTCGGAAGTTCCGCTTCGAGATGTCGGCGTCAGAATTCAGTCGGCGGGCTTGTCCAGATTTCCGGGCTCGACCCGGACGGCATTTTCATACTTTCAATCGAAATTTCTCCGTCGCCCATATTTCACCAAAAAACTCGTTCGTTCGACCAAACATTTTTCTCCGCGCGCATCCATCAAGTGACACGCGCGATCGATCGAGCGCGTTTTTAAAGTACCCCGGAAGCTTCCCTTCCGTCGAAGCGATCAATAAACGGACGAAAAATCAAGGCGGCGGAATCGCGAGAAAAGATCGCGGAGAAAGGAGGTTGGCGTATTAATTTCGCTATTAATAACGCTTGTTTCCTGAAGGTTGGCGCAAAAGGAAAGCTTCCGACGCGGGCGCCTCGTAAAGATGCGCTCGATGCGAGCCGTCATTTGACGGATGCGTCTTTCTATCACGACGATGAAGCATTTTTCCTCCGGATTTCCTCCGTCATCACTGCCGCGATCTCCGATTCACTCGGGCCGAGTAAGCGCCTCGTCACACGGTGACTAATTAACTAAACGATCTCTCGTTCCGCCCTCCTAACGACGTCGCACTGCGGACGCGGCTGAGGAGGACGCAGTTCCGAGACCGGCTCGGGGATGACTTCGGGCTTCCCTCCTTAACTCTTTGAGCCGGGAAACGAGATATCGTCGCCCGGGATTACGACTCGGATTACGAGACGAAGAATTAGTCCGCTCACGTATCCGCATGCACTTGTTCGGTCGCGCGCCGAGTTGCCGAAATTACACGCTGGGATCGGCTTCGAGCTCCGTTCGAGCCAGCGAGCGGAACTTGCTGAGCGGTCGAGTGCGCTTGCGAAATTTTCCCCGCGACCTTCTCGTGGCGCAAAGATCTCGTCGCCCGCGCTAAAAATTCCCCGCGAGGCGCTGAACCCCTCCCCTCTCTCTCTCTCTCTCTCTCTCTCTCTCTCTCTCTCTCTCTCTCTTTCTCTTCAGATATTGGTCGCGAGGACGTATGAAAGGATGTTCCTCGTGAGGTGAGAAATATTAAAACACCATGGGGCCTTGGAGAGTTCAGATATTCCAACTCTCTGTTAAAGAAATATTGAATCACTGTATTTCTTTTCTTCTCCTTCCTGGGAAGAACTCGTATTCGTTTTCACTCGCCGCAAGAAATGTAAATTTAACGTAAATCACTTGTTTTACTGTTTAGCGCTCGAGGAAGCATTGCGCCGGAGCGCCTAATAAATGCTACTTTCCTTCCCCCTCCTCTATCTCTCTCTCTCTCTCTCTCTCTCGAGCAGATGCTACCGGTCAGAATATTAAAGCAGGAGAGAAGTGATTAACTGCCTCGACTTTATACATTTTCCCACCGTGGCAGCTAACAGAGTTACGAACGTTTTATGTCCTCTCCGGCTCTCTCTCTCTCTCTCTCTCTCTCTCGTCTCCAGCACATTATTTCGCAGCTGGTGCGCGGCGGCCTGCACTAAGAGAGAAGTTTGCACAAGCGCGGCCCATATTATTCTAATATCGAGGAGAGACTCGCATGATCTCTCAAAAGAGACCTCGCTTGTCCACTCGCGAGAATGCCCGCGATCGCCAGCGCCATCTATTCACGCGACTGCAAATAAGCACGGACCAAACCGTCCGCGCATTCGCGGAGAATCCGCTTCCGCGCTCGGAGAAGAGATCCCTTCTCCCGTGGGAGAGGAGGCGCTTTTTGCTCGCCGAATATTTCATTAACATGCAGTTGGCGATCCTCGGCAAAAAGATCTCGGCGAGGCAGACGCGAACGAATTGAAACACCCGGGGATTGATCTCTCCTTTGCGTCTTTCTCCAGAGAGCTCACGCACGAAAAAGAGAGAGAGAGAGCGCGACTCGATAAAATATTAATCCCAATACGGATCAAGGTAGGACGCCGCAGGGTGAGCGTCGACTTAAATTTTTCACGACACACGAAACCGTTACTCGATAGCCGGGACGTGCACGGGAATCTCTCGTGATGGATTCTCCCGTCTCGAAACTGCCCTTTTATTACGTGTATGCGAAAATTTTAGTCTTTTTTCCAGCTCTTTAGTGTAATTATATGGAATTGAAATGTTTTCCCGCCCCGTTTGCGTTTTTGTAAAGTTGATATGGATCCTTCTGGGGACCATCCATTATGATTCATTGATGCGCATAATCTCAAAAAAGAAAAAGGAAAAGGAAACAGTTGGTACAATGAGCGAGGGAAAACTTTATGCGCGACGCTGCATTCGAGATATGAATTCCAGCGAGGAAAAAATGTTGCTAAAGCGTGCGCGAATCCATTCGTCCTGCTCTTGGGCGAAATATTGTCTCTCATAATATTGCTTCCGTCGCTTTAAACGTTACGATGATTTTGGCGGAACGCCGCAGATGCTCGAGGCCGACAATTTCGGAGTGTTGTTCCAACATGAAAACCCGTCGCGAACGCGACTGGAACTTGCGGAACAGCTCGGAGTTGAGCAAGCTGCATGAAACGGGAAAAAAATTCAGAAGCCCGGAAAACGGGTGCCGCAGAAGAAGAAGACCAAAACTTTCGCGTACACCTAACACTTCCCGCGACTGAATCTGCTTCGGCTCGGGCCTCGCTCCGGGCTGACAATGAAATACCCCCTCCCCTCCCCTCCCTCCTGCGCACACAGTTTGTGTGTATCCTTCAATTACCGGAAGCGGCGTTTGCACCCGGCTCTCTGTCGGTGTCCTCCTCGGGAGATCCTCGCAAGTTTTTTTTAAAAACTCCTGCGGACAAAAGGGAGTGACAGTGGGGGGGGGGGCGAGGTCCTGTGCGAGAGGCACGTCGGGGGAGCGTCCGGGATCCATCTGTCGTCCGGGCTGTATCGACCTTTCGTCAGCAGACCTTCGCGGGATATGAACGGGCTATAAATCCCCCGGCGGAGGGGGGAAGGGGAGGGTGCCGACATAACCCGGTGGCGACGAGCCCGGGTCCTGTGTCCATTCATTACCGCCGTTAATCGAGTCATTCGCGACTCGTTGGCCAGTTGGCTCGGGTCGATGTCCTTTGTCGTCCTGGCGGGACGGGATGATCGCATCGAAGCCGGATATCGGCGGCGCTAAAATGTCGCGATCAGCCGGCAACTTGAACGCAAATATTGACCGCGCGTCGTTGTTTGCAGCGGCTCGTTTTCGCGGCCGGCGCCGCGGTAAACAGCGGCGGAACTTTCGGAGCCGCGGGGCGATGCGAAAATAAATCGACGCCGAAATCTCGCGCCGTCTCGGGGCGCGACCGCGAAGGAGCTCGATCGCGCGTATTTGCGATTCACCCCGCTCGTCCTAATGGAGGGATCTGATAATGAGAGGGCTGATAATTGCGGCGGCGATTAACCCAAAAAACTTGCCCGCGTTCTACGAAAATTGCCTGTAACCGAGGAGAGAAATCCCGACTCCGCCGGACACCTCGCCGCCGCCGGCGAACCGAAGACAAGCGCGAGGTGTGTGCGTGAGCTCGTGATTCGATAATGAGTATTGATCTACGCAGGATTGACGGCTGCTCGAGAGTCTTCTCTCGAGTCGAGCACTTCCTTGCGCCGCGCCGCGCCGCGCCGCGCCAGCGAGGTCGCACACGCGCGCGACGCGTCGACGTCGCGGGGCCATTCGCGTTGAGCTGCGTGCCATCAGCGCGAAATGATTCTCGCGTTCCCCACGAGCTCGACGTTGACACGCACGCACGCGAGCCGCTAATAGAATATTGATTTCGTCGTAACGCGATTAAGCCATCCTCTGTTCGCGACCGGCTCGGCGGCCCGGCTCCGATAATTTTCGTTTACGGCGTGTCTAATCCGGGACTAATACCGTATTTCGCTGGCCGATAATTACGCAGGAGCGACAGCGTTAATTACGCGCGTTTTAGGACCGTCCTCCCCCCCCCTCTCTCTCTCTCTCTCTCTCTCTCTCTCTCTTTCTGTTGGCCGATTGAAAATGAACGCAAATTGCGCTGCTCTCTCTCTCGCGATCGAAACGAACGCCAGGTACCCGCAAATTTTTTTCTTCCGGCTAGGACGAAACAAGTGCACCCTCTCCGTTCCCCTTCCCCTCGGTAAAGGGGTGGTTTTTAAGCGACCGTCTTTATTGGGAAACCGAAGCGCCGTTCCCATTCTCGAGACCTTTCCTTGGATCCTCGCGTATTTCTCTCCCTCTCTCTTTCTCTCTCTCTCTCTCTCTCTCTCTCTCTCTCTCTCTCTCTGTGTGTGTGTGTGTGTGTGTGTGACCAGCCACATCCGCTGTGTAAACGTCACGTCATAACAAATCCTGTTAGTCCACTAAATCCCGAGTATTAATTTCTCCAATGCCTCCGACAGCCGCGTGTACACGCACGCACACACACGCACAAATCTCGCCGAAACTATCGTCGCCCTCTCGCCGACAATCATCGTTTCACAAAGTTAATGAAACACCGCGATTGTACTTCGAGCCTGCTCTCCTTCCTCGTCGGCCATTAGCGACGACGGGGAGGCGAAATTTCCAAAACCGCCAGCGACGACTCTCGCGGCGGGGGGCCGCGCCGGCGGAAAATATCTCCGGAAAATCGCCGAGCGGGAGCATCAGTCGATGGAGAGAGCGACGCGCTCTCCCCCTCTTCCCCGCGTAGCGTCGTTTTTTTTTCCTCGGCACGGCGTTTCGTTATTTGCGCGCCACGCGCGCGAGTCTCTTGGATAAAAAACAAATATTAAAGAACACACGGGACGATACGTCGCGCTTTCTTTCCGACCCAGTTTTCTGAGTTCCTGCCCTCCTCCCCGCCCCCTGTAGATTGTCTCGGCCGAAAAGCGCTCGTTCTTTCTCATTTTCCCGACCCGCGATCGGCGACCGACCGTTCGTCCGACAATGAACTCC